TCCCTCCCTCCCTCCCTCCCTCCCTTCCTGAGAGAAAATAGAATACAGCAGCCAGAAGGGCATGAAAATAATTTTTGTGGGTCCAAAGACTTCATATGTATCTACAAATTATACCTTGGACATTAATGATGTGTAGAATGGGACCTTCACAAAAAAAAATCTTAAAGAACAGTCAGGATGATATTTCAAAGGCAATCTCCCTAATAGACTTTGTAGGAAAGAGGAATTGCTCTCTTCTCTTTGTGCTGCCAGAAGCAGTTCTATCCACAGAACTTTGGAATTTGTTTGGTGTCATTAATTTAAAGATGATTAACCTTGGAAATTTAAGCAAAATATTCAGACATTCTTTTGCAGCTATAAATTAGTCTGATTGCATGTTTTGCAATTATTTGCATTTATCAGTCTGCTTCTCCATGCCTTTGTTTTCATTTGGCAAAAAATAAGTTATGAATCATGAGTGAAAATTCATGATGGTGTTTCCAGTGTCAGCCAAACCACTGCAATCAAGCAAAGGGTATTTTCAAATTCAGGAGAGAGGCCAATACAAACCAACAGCTGTTAGGATTTTGATAACCGGGAAAATAATATATAAAGAATTCAGGATTAGTATCTACCATGGAATGACTGAAGAACAATATTAATAAGTTAACAGTTATAATTAGTTAACAGTTTATTACACTGAATACATTATAACAACAATAAGCTTTGCATGTGACAGAATTGGCTTGGGAAGAAATAGTGAAATGTGTATTCTTGTCTGTTTGTACCCTGCTGATCAGATAAATGGACAGGTTCTGTATGGAAAAACACATCAGAATGCATCTTCAATCATCAAATGTGCACCTTCTAAAGTAAAAATAATCTTTATCAGGTAAGAAACGTTTAGTATTTTAATATTTTAGTCTTGTCTCAGTTCATCTTTCAAATAACGGGAAGGGCATCAAAAGCACTGCTAAGCGTTTTCAGAATTGCGGATATTAACTTCAGAGTCGTTCTGGACTGAGGTAGAGATCAATAGTCTAAATCAGTAAATCAGTAAATAAAGTAGATTTTTTTTACTAAAAAAATTAAGTATTATTTAGATATTAAAAATTTAAAGAACACCTCATCCAACACCAGTTCGGTAGTATTAAATTTTTGTACTTTTTGTTTGATAGAAACAAAGATGCTATCCATCAGATGGCTATTTGTCCTGGTAAATCAGTGGCATCGCCATCTTCGTCTTCCGGAATGGGTCAGCACGAAGAGGTACAATGGCATATTCAATATTCGTCTTAATTTAGTGATTGAAAAAAAATGCTACTTATAATGTTTTCCATGGAAAATAATCACAAGGCAGAGACAATTTTAATTTAGAAGTAACTTCCTAGAGATATTTTGAGTAAATTTAAACATGTCTCTTTTATAGCTATTGTGAATATATATTTTAACGTATTTATTTTGTTTAGGGGGAAGTGAACATTTCAAGCTGTAATTTACCAATAGATCTGACTTTATATAAGAATGTTCAAAATGTGGAACTACCTAAGGTAAATACATGTATTTATGTTCTGTTCGTATCTTTGTAGACCTAAATGAATTTCTGGCTGTAAATTTCTTTCATTCTGATGCAGACGGTACAAATGAGGTAAATCACCTCATATTCTATTTATGTATTTATTTACACACACAGACACCTAGATATGACTAAGCATGTACGGGAACATTGTTTGATGTGCTTAAATTTCCCAAATGCTTTTTAAAGTTTCTGTAAAATGTAAAACCTGAAGGGTGGCTTAAATTTTATCTGTATTTTAGTTTGAAAAATTTAGGTTAAACTTTATTTGTGGAGAATTTGCAAAGACAGAATTCCTAAAGTGTCATTTTACCATTGGTTAAACTCTTCAATAACGGTAGTTGCCCTTTGTGATTCTTTAGGATCAAGGTGGCATAGGTATTGCTATTGGTGAAGAAGATACACTTAATGGTGTAGTTATTCAGAGCTTAACAGATCATGGTGCAGCAGGAAAGGTAAACTCGACACTAAAAATGATAAAAATGTTCATTTCCTCCTCCTTGACCTGAGTTTAAAGGTAGTTCTCTGATTTCAGGATGGCCGAATTAAGGTTGGAGATCAAATTCTAGCAGTGGACGATGAAATTGTTGTGGGCTATCCTATAGAAAAGGTAACTGAGCAATGACTACCCTAGGAAGCTTTTGAAGATTTGTTTGATATAAGCTGAAATACTTGATTATTTTATTTTTATTTATTAGATTTGTTAGCTACCAATTTTATGCCCAGGGTAACTCTGGGCAGCTTATATGTTAAACAGGATACAAACTATATAAAACATGCATATAACCCAAATAAACTATTATAAAAATATAAATTATCAACTCTAACTAAAAGATGAGAAGAGAAGGAGAAGGACGAGCAGGAGTGCATGTGGGATTTAGATACTTTCTATGGGCCTAGGATTGTAGCATTGTTCGATTTTTAAAACTCAATTCCTATCTCACATCTCATTGAAGACACCTGTCCAAGAGAACATGTCAAACAATCAGATAATTGTTGACCACGGTAAGAATCACTGATGTTTAATGAAACATTTAAAACATCTCCTTTCAAGAATGAATGTGTGTGTGTGTGTGTGTGTGTGTGTGTGTGTGTGTGTGTGAGAGAGAGAGAGAGAGAGAGAGAGAGAGAAATTACACACACAGACACACATACTTTTTAGCTGATATATTGGCAATCATCTCTTGGCAGGGAAAAAAAGTTATAGAAATGGGCATTCAGTCAAGTATTTGTTCACAGACATAGTGTTTGCTTTTCTCTTAACAACTTAGCTATAATAGTTCTGCTGAATATTATATAGCCATATGTTTGTTTGTTACATGGTAATTTGTTTTATTCAGTATTTCTTATGATCTGTTGATTATTTCAACAAGTTTATCAGTTTGCTGAAAACATCAAAGCCCAATGTGAAACTCACCATTAGTTCAGTTGAACCCGAAGGCCTGGCAGTTCCCCAGCCACCGTTGTCAACTTACAGCACCACGTTGAGTGAGGGAACCAATATCCAACCATTACCAATCGTTCCATCATCTGAGTCACCAGAACCAGAGTTAATTAAAGGTAAGAATTTTCATTTACTCCATGTTAAAAAAAACACCACTGTACTGTGTCCATATCAATATGCGTGTATACCCATAAACACTTATCAATTATTGAATCAGCCATTAGCCTATATGTCTTTGACTTGCTACCTCAAATGTCCTCCTTTGTAAGATTTAAGCAAGTTATATAGAAATCAATATGTTTCTTTCTTCCCCTTTCTTTTTTTTTTTGGCCTTTGGAAGTTCAGATAGTCTTTAATTTGGGAACCACAACTGAGCCCAAAATTTCTGTTGCTAAGCAAGACAGTTGTTAAGTGAGTTTTGCCCCATTTTATGGTCTTTCTTGCCATAACTGTTCAGTGAATCACTGCAGTTGTTATAATCACACGGTTGTTAAGTGAATCTGGCTTCCCCATTGACTTTGCTTATCAGAAGGTTGCAAAAATCGATCGTATGACATCCAACACTGCAACCATCATAAATATGAGTTAGTTGCCAAATGTCTGAATTTTGATCATGTGATCATTGAGATGCTGCAATGGTCATAAGTGTAAAAAACTATCATATGTCACTTTTTCAGTGCTGTTGTAACTTTGAGCGGTCACTAAATGAACTGTTGTAAGTCGAGGACTATTTTTATAATTAGCCAGTTGTTAAGTAGAAATATTTGTACGATCATTAAATATATTCAGCTGTAAGACAGATTATCACTGAATTTGTCCCATGGTTAAACATGGCTCTGTAATGGTATGACAAACGTTATTATAATACTGTTTGCTGAAATACTGAAGAAGTGCACCCCAAAGATGGTTTTCATTTAAAATAAAAACTTTATTGAGGAAGTGTATACCTTACAGTTGTTGATGTTCTGGTATATCCTAATTCCACCGAGGACATATATCCATGGACCTGATAAATCCCAAGTTATGGGTTAGCTGCTGTCAACATGGTTTGCAAAGTAGTATTCTTGATGTAAAACAACAAACTAGGAATCTTAGAATCACAGATTATAACCAGTTCTTCTAATTTCTGTTTTTAGATGCAAGCAGGTCTTCAACTCCAGCCATGTTAGCTTCTGACCCAGCCACTTGTCCAATTATCCCAGGTTATGAAACAACAATCAGTATCTCCAAGGGACGTACTGGTCTTGGATTGAGCATCGTGGGAGGAGCTGACACATTACTGGTGGGTAAAAATGGTTTTTGTAACCCCTATACAATCTCTGGCTAACATTCCTAACACAAAAAACCATGTTCCATTGAATGTAATGACACTTATCCTCAGATATGTGGATGTAAGATTACACTGTGAGACATATAAAGTGACTCATATAAATGAATTTAAATACAAGATATATTACTGGAAGTAAATTTAAATCCATAACTGCATAAAGCACTAATACCTTAACAATACCTTAACCTGTGATACATTTCATTCCTATTCGTTCCTAGTTGTATTAAATATTTATATGTTTTTGAATCCATAAGTTACTGAAGTTTTTAAAATGTTAGGTTTTTTCCTTCTTTTTATCATATTTTAAGTTTCTTGTGAACGTTTGTTATTTTTTGTGTATTAATTATTTCTATAATGTTATATAAAATGTTCTGATTTGTAATATTCATTAAGAGGTACATAATTAAGATCTTAAGGGAGAGGGGGGGGCACAACGACCTAGCAGTTAAGACACTGTGCTTGTTGACCAGAAGGTTGGCAGTTCGAGATTCAAGCACTGCCTGATAGGGTGAGGTCCTGTTACTTGTCCCAGCTCCTGCCCACTTTGCAGTTTGAAAGCATGCAAATGCAAGTAGATAAATAAGTACCACTTTGGTGGGAAGGTAGCAGCATTCCATGTGCCTTGGCATATAGTCATGCTGGCCACATGACCATGGCATCGTCTTCGGACAATGCTGGTTCTCTCACTAGGAAATGGAAATTTAACACCGTCCCCAAAAGTGTGCTGCCCTGATCCTCATACAGACACGCGCGAAGGTACAGTGAGAGTTCAAAAAGGTGTTTATTCAACCCCCCTCCCCAAATAGGTCTTCAGAAAGTACCCACATTGCACAGGTTCGGATTCCAAGCTCAGCACGGCAAAAGTCACTGGGTAAACCAAGTCCAACAGGCACACACGAAGTCCAGGAAAACAATTCACAAGTCAATGGGTCAGGATACACAGCACGAGCACAAAAGGCACAGAACTGGGCACGTTGATCCAGCAACGCTCAAGTCCTCAGGGCAGGATTAAGTAGGCGAGGTGCGGCCTTCATGAGGGGCGAGGTTGCTTCCTCATGAGCAGTGCTGTGGAGTCGGAGTCGAGGAGTCGGAGTCGGAGGAAATTTTGGGTACCTGGAGTCGGAAGTACAAAAAACTGAGGAGTCGGAGTCGGAACATTTATCTACTGACTCCACAGCCCTGCTCATGAGTAGTCTAGACTCTAGCCCACTGGCATTGCACCTGTCTTGTCTCCGCCTTACATGTCCTTGGATCGGGAGGAGGTGTGGGCTCCACCACCACCTAATCGCTAACCGTCAGCAGCTGCCCCCGGTCCTCGCCTGGAACCTCCTGACTAATTCGCTGCAGCTTGCCTCACTCAGCCTCAGCCTGTCCCTTGTCCAATGTACCCGGCTGAGACTGTTCTGTCAGGCTCTGAGTCCTGAGCTAGGCGATTGTGCAGCTCCACGTTTTCCTCTGCCAACTCAAATTCCTCCTCCTATTCTGAGCTCGCATTTGGAGCGGGGTCCCAGGGTGAATCTATGATGCTGAGTTGGATATAACTGGATACAGGAAATCTTTCCCTTTTTTTAAAATTAAGATCTCATTTCTCCCTATTATTAATGCATTTCCATCTTTAGTTTCTAAAAAATACATTGCAGCATCCGAAACCTATTTAAAAATACATTTGCATAGAGGTTTCTGAATCTTAATGTGTTTTTGTGTGTGTGTGTGTGTGTTTTCTACATTGAAAAAACTTTACTTTTAAGATAGTTGTGATACATGGTTACGAAGTTAAAGTGAGTGATTGAATCTTTCAAATCTACAGGGAGCCATTATTATCCATGAAGTATATGAAGAAGGAGCAGCATCCAAAGATGGAAGACTCTGGGCTGGTGATCAAATCTTAGAGGTACAATGTTGAACGTTTTACAACTTACAGTATCCTTCTGTGTAGGAAACAGAAATGATGGGAGAAAAAGGAAGTTATGGAGATTTATGTAATTTTTGTAGTAAGTTAGCATACGTATTCAGCTTTCAACATCTATTCATTTTAGGTGAATGGTATTGACCTAAGGAATGCAACACATGATGAAGCTATAAATGTTCTCAGACAGACACCACAGAAAGTCCGCCTCACTGTTTACAGGGATGAAGCCCAATATAAAGAAGAAGACATGTATGATGTACTGAGTATCGAATTACAAAAGAAACCAGGCAAAGGACTTGGATTAAGTATTGTTGGGAAAAGGTGGGTACAGAGAGGGTCTTTTGAAACGCTTATTAAATATAATTTAGGCCAGTAAACTAAAAGGTAAAGTTAACTTGGTTCAAACCCAACCAAAATGTACAGAGTAGAGGTTTAGTTTTGACATATTCTTGACTTCCTGCTTAGCTATGAAGTAGGTTTGTATCAGTTACCTTCTGTATAAAAATAAGAATTATTTTCAGATCCACTCAATAAAACTGATTGCCAGAGGATTTATTTATCAGGAGTGCATACAAACTAGGCAATATGTGCTGTTTTGTGCAATGAAACAGATACTCTTTCTTAGAGGTTCAGTCAAACTGTTCTGGTTGGGTCATAGACTAACAGATCCGATACCCAGAATATTTGGATTGTTCTAGGTTTTGTACAAGAAAAAGTCTGAAGTCTTTTGGGTGAGTAAGACAAGGTTGTTGTACCTTATACCACTCTTCCTTTGTCTTCTGTGTATCCTATGCACCAGCCTGGTCTCCTTGTCTGCCTATCGCTACCTTTCAATTTAAGGTGTGGCATATCCTACAAGCCAATCCATCCTCTTCCCCTACTGGAAGATTACAGGATTTTTCCCCCCTGCTAGTACTAAATACAGTTGTGTCTCCCTAAGCCAAATTCTTGTGTTTGTGGTTATAGAAAGAAATATATATGGGTTTTAAGAGGCACTTTTTATTTAGTGCCTGTGACATATCCTGGCGCTCAAATTAATTTCTGAGGTTTTTTTACCAAAAAAATTTATGATACATTTTTAATAATAAGCTTTGATAAAAAGAGATATTATATATGTATGAAATATCTATGTAGAAATATCTATCACAAATTTATAAAAAAAACAAAAAATTAATATTAAAGCAGATCATTAGTATTTTATTGTATTTCACATGATTATAAACCTCTTATGAATGTTTTAAAAATGATTAAAACAGTGAATTGGAGTACATGCTTACAAATATAGAGATTAAGAATCAAATGTATACAGTTCTGCACTGTTTATAGACCAACTTACACATATGACAGGACTGTATAGAAAAGTCCAAATAAGTAACTAAATAAAACAAACATACATGAATATTGCATTTGCAGAAATGACACTGGGGTGTTTGTGTCGGACATTGTCAAAGGAGGTCTAGCAGATCTGGATGGACGGTTAATGCAAGGAGACCAGATATTAATGGTGAATGATGAAGATGTTCGAAACGCTAACCAGGAGACAGTGGCAGCCTTATTAAAGGTACACTAAATTTGAGATAAAATGATATTATATTAATTCAGAATCTTATCCAGATCTTCTTTGGTTAAAACCCCAACTGTTGCTCATCCTTGATTTGATTTGGGTATAGTTATTTTGATAAAATCAGATAAATATATTGGGATTGCAAAACCTTGTTAATATAGTGTATACAGCGGCTGTATACTCCTCATTTAATGATTACCTCAAGTAGCAACCATTCACAAATGTGATAATCATAAAAGGTAATAAAAAAATTCATTTTCCAATCAGTGTGAACCATTACGGCCAAATTTAACGCTCTTGACAATAATGCATGCCATTGTGAATAACAAGGGTGTAGCTGCGTGAGAGAACTTTATTTGAATGAGATGGCAATAGCCAGTGATCTTAGCAGCATCCCCCCCCCTTTCTTTGTCTCAGTCACATGTTCACTTAGTGACTATTTCACTTAACAATCTGGTTGCTGGAGTAGAATTCAGTAACTAAAGAAAGAGTGGGTTCATTTTTTGTTACTTTTTCATGAGTGATACTAATCCAAGGATATGTGTTTCCCAGTATAAATCAGATGAAGGGACTGAATTGAGTAGTTAGTTTAGAAATCTTTTTACTATACTCATCACTTTTAAAATTGATACATGATATTTTGTTTAGATTTAACTTTAACTGGGGTACATACCAGTTGAAAAAAGTTATTATTTAAATGACTTCTTCAGTTGTGGCTTGTTCGTAGAAGAACACAGGAAGCCTGAGTGTGTTCAGTGGTCAAAATGAAAAATAAGCCAGGCGTTAGAGGTTAAATTTCATTAACGGTGTTAAGAGAAGAGATAATATAACTTTTTGCTAGAGTCATAGTGGAGTTAAAGATATTGATGTTGGATTTTAAAATTAGATTTTGAGCTGATTCCGGCCTTACTCTTAATGCATATTGTTATTGTAGTGGGTTTTTTTTTTATATGTCTACTTAGATGGTTTGTTAAGAATATCTGTCAAGTATAGATAGTTCTTGACTTACAAACATTCGTTTAGTGACCATTAAAAATTACAACGGCACTGAAAAAAGTGAGTTACCACTGGTCCTCGCGCTTAAAATTCTTGCATCCCCACAGTCATGTGATCAAAATTTGGGCGTTTGGCAACCTGCACGTATTTAGGATAGTTACAGCATTCAGGGGTCATTTGCCATTTGTGACCTCCCCAGCTGGCTGACAAGCAAAGTCAATGCGGGGAGCCGGATTCGCTTAAAGACCACATGATTCATTTAACAACTGCAGTGATTCACTTAACCACCTAGATAAAAAGGTCGAAAATTTGGGCATGATTCAGTTAACAACGACCTTGCCTTAGCAATGGAAAGTTTGGTCCCATCTATGACCATAAGTCAAGGATTACCTGTATTGCATAAGGTAGAAATGCCTTTTGTTAACAATTGTTGCAAATAGTGGTGTTCTAATAGTTAGGCAGGTTTGTGAGCTTTTTATAATGATGTTTATAGACAGATCTTTAAACTGAATCTTTAAACTCGCTTATTAGGTGTGAAGCATGAGCAATATTTATGCCCATTTGGGATTTTAGGCTTGAGTCATCCAGTCCCAATATTGATTGATCATGTTATACAAATTATCCAAATTTTTCAGCTGACAATTGTGTCCCAAGGCAGGCTGTCTTCTTTCAATTAAGAAATGTCTTTATTGATCCCTGATCAAGGCAATTATCTTCTAACCAATTATGTCTGCTTCCTAGTGCTCATTAGGTGTGGTTAAACTAGAAGTTGGAAGAATAAAGACGAGTTCATTCCATTCAGAGAGGAGACTGTCTCAGAGCAGCCAGGTTTGTAACTATTTGCACTGATTTCATTTGGGGGAAAAAAATCAAATCATTATAAAAGTTAGCGAACAAGGAAAAATTCGATTTTGCTGTGCCATGATATTTCCGTAGAATATTATCAAAAATAATTTAACCCACAACTAAATTCCATAATTGGTTGAACCAGCCCACGTTAAATATTTTTAAAAGTGATATTTAGAAAATGTCTTCGCAAATTGTGAGTGTCAGAATTTATTTACCAAACACACTGAACATTAAATTGTCATTTTTATAATTTTGGCTATCACAATTAAAGCAGAGTAAACCTTCAGAGCTACATTGGTATAGGACAGGGGTAGGAAACCTTGGCTCTTTTATGACTCGTGGACTTCAACTCCCAGAGTCCACGAGTCATAAAAGAGCCAAGGTTGCCTAGCCCTGGTATAGGAGTATTGGGGGTAGAATTGATCATCATCTTTCTAATGACTTTACAATACCTCCAGTTAAGACAATTGCCTAAGAGCTCTGTTCCGTAGGGGGAAAAAAATATATGGGTCACATGGAATCCTGAATGCTTCTTCGCATACATTTCCTTCTACCTGTGTTCAATATTTAAGCCAGGCCAAACAATTTTCCAAATCCACTGTTATAGCTGAATAATATTGTAGCCTGTATTATTTTTAGATCCAGATTTTTTATCTTTGCTCTTATAGAAACCATGTCCTGGATCCAAACGGGTAGGTATATTTCCAGAAAAATTATGTGTGTTGCTAAAATATTAGATAGCATATCAGTTTAAAAAGGAGGCAACGATTCCAGAATAATTTTGATGTAATTCTCTAAGGTCAGTGAAGGAAGCGGCAGCTTGACATCATTCAGCTTCCCAGCTAGTGGATCCAACCCGCCTGAAAGTTACGAAAGCACTCTGAAAAAGAACTGTTGTAAGTTTCAGTAGTGATTATTTATATTATTTATTATATTATATATTTCGGTGGAATAAAATAAGTGATGTTCTAAAATTTGAACAATCTTTAAAATGATTTTTTTATAAGTTGCAACTGCAATTAAGATTTCCTTCGCTAAGCAATGCAGTCATAAACTGCCAAATGGTGTGAGTGCATCCCTTAGCGATGTCAGTCTCTGCAGTCTCTGTTGCCGTAGTTAAGCAAGGATTGTGGGACATTTAAGTGAGGATCTGCTTCCGGCTTCCTGCCGCCTTCCAACCAAAGTCAGTGGGGAAGCTGGTAGGAAGTCACAAATCCTAGGTACCTTGCAAGCAGGCTAGCAAACAGGTACGTGACTGCTGCTGGGTGCGAATGAGTACAGGGCAGTGTCCGGGTGGCCAGGAAGGCGTGGTGCAAGCGCAGTGGGGCTTGGGATGGCTGCATCTGGGTGAGGGAGGTTAGAGAAGGGTTTGCGAGTAGTGGGGGAGTCAAGGTATGAGCATGGCAAGGCTCGGGGAGAGGGCATAGGCTGGGGAAGAGGTACAGCACGAATGCAACAAGGCATGATACAAGCACAGCAAGGCTTAGGTTAGTTGCTGCCTGTGGAGACGGATGCATGAGTGACGGGTGAGATACAGCAAGAGCACAGCAAGACTTGGGAAGGGTGCATGGTTGGTGGGGGAGCACAGTGCAAGCTCAACAAGGCTCAGTGAGATGGTGGGAAGTGGTGGGGAGCACAGTGCAAGAAGTACAAGGCTCCAGAAGGATGCACAAAGGGGTGTGGATAGCCAGTGAGGTGGTGCAGAGGGACTGGGGACTTGGCATTTGGGTGGGGGAGACTTCACTGAGCAACCTGTGACCTTCTCTGCTGGCTTCCCCATTAACGTAGCTTGTGGGAAGCCAGCAGGGAAGGTTACAAACCACAATCACATGACTGGGGAAATGGCAATCATTTTAAGTTCCAGACAACTGCCAAGCATCCGGATTGTGATCACATGAACGCAGAGGTTCAAAGACAGTAAATGATAATTTCCTCCAGGCATTTCTATAAAATAACCGAACCAATTCCCCCCGCCCCCCCAGTATTACAGAAAGGAGATGAGCACCAACCTAAAAGCATTTTTCTAAGTCTATCCTGGAAACAGTAGCTGTCTATCGCTGAGAATAGACAGCTACTGTTACCTATTCTCAGCAATAGATACCTTGCTCTAAAAACAAAGTAGCCTTTTTGAATGCATGAAAATTCAGCAGTTTGAAATAGAAAAATTACAACTGTAATTTCTGTGTTTTTAATAGTGGCGTCTGAAATACAAGGTTTGAGAACAGTTGAAATAAAAAAGGTAAGTATGTTCCAACACATTTAATAAAATAAGAAAGCATTGGAGGGAAATTATGCTGAACAAAATTTTTGGTGAAAGACTAGGTTTAAAAAATTTATACTAAACAGCATCACTCTTTTAATCCTGTGGTTTAACATTTTAAAAAATACTTTTCTAACTTTTGGGGGGTGATTGTTGTTCCCTTAGTTAAGAATGGTGTAAACTTTGTTCCGAAATGTCTTTTATCTTTCAGAATTATTGTTATTGCTTTTTCTTTTTCTTTAAAAAAGAGATCTGTCAATAATATGAACATTTAGACCTCTGCAGGGGGGGGAGGTTTTTTTAAACATAATTAAAAATAAAATCTGGTACTTTCCTGATCCACTCCGTATTACAAGCCACCCAATTCATTTTGAGAAGCTTCAGAGCCTGTTCATCACAGAGCAGGCCAGGCCTGTTATTCAGGAAACAGAAGCCCACAGCTCCCTTGAGGATGCAGAATGATTTGCATGGCAGTCCATATGGGTGATGTTTGTTCATAAACTTTATATGATTTTGAAACATAGCATAGGAGGGGTGTGTGTGTGCGTGCCCTAGCAAAACAAGACGAACAGCAATCTTAAAAACCGACTTTAAAGAAGAAGAATTTTTATAAAGAAAACTTTTAAAACATACAAAAGGCTCAAAGTAGGCAAGCTGCCTTTCCCCCTTTCAACCATAGAAATTTTTTTTATCAAGAAGCGTGATTCTTCTGCTACCCAGTTGCTCTGGAGAGGGCATAAGAGGCAGATGGTCATCCCACCTGGGCCTTTAGGTGTAGATGCTTAAATCCTTGAGCTCCTGATCAAGTTTCCATTGCAGCACAGGGACAAGAAATAGAGATTTTTTAACATTGTCTGCAGAAACAAACTAGCTTTGATGAAAACCGTGTGCTAGAGTGAATAACGTAAAAAAGTAACCTTCAGTGTCAAGGTTCACAAATAGTTGTGTTCACTGTAATCAAACACAGTGATTGCCTACTTTTTCTGTTGAAAACGGATCAAGTATGATAAGTTAGTAGCTCCGCCCATGTTGTAGCTTTGGCTAGAATTTGAACTATTTTTGAACAATTACGTGGCATAAGTCAGTGTAGCCCAGGGGTGTCCAACTTTAGCAACTTTTAAGACTTGTGGACTTCAACTACAGGTAGTCCTCAAATGTATAACAGTTTATTTGGTAACCATTTGAAATTATAACGGCACTGAAAAAAGTGACTTAAGACTGGGTGTTGTTTTTTTTTACACTTAAAACCGTAGCAGCATCCCCCCAAGGTCATGTGATCAGAATTCAGATGCTTGGCAACTGACACTTATGACGGCATATGATCCCCATTTGCAACCTTCTGACATGCAAAGTCAATGGGGAAGCCAGATTGGCAGCCATGTCACTTAACAGCTGCAGTGATTCATTCCAAAGATGCTTTTTTTTCACGAGGCAACTGGACTTTCTTGTTTTTTTCTTTGAAGACGTTTCGCTTCTCATCCAAGAAGCTTCTTCAGTTCTGACTGGATAGTGGGGAATGGAAAGATTTATACTCCTTGTAAATCTTTCCATTCCCCACCATCTCAGGAATTCTGGGAGTTGAAGTCCACAAGTCATAAAGGGGCATTCGTTCCCATCTGTTTTAGAAGATTTAGGCCTGAAGCTTGACAGCTGCTGTTTAAGAAGTATTACTGTTCAGGCTAAGCTTATGTAAGAATGGAGGCTATCAGCTCAGCCTTAAACTAGTTGGATACTTTCATGAGCAGTTCCCTCTCCAAGTAAAATACATAGCTAGCCAGTGTGCTCCCTGTCAGAATATCTTCACTGTTGCTGTGATTGTATGGTGGCAAGACCCAGTCCAAAATCCATCCAGGCATACCAATCCTCTGGCTACTGTGTGATAACTTCTTGGAATTACTGGGAATTCATTGAGAGTAATTCTTTCCCTGTTGCACTTGCAAGGAAGATGTGGGCAGAGCTGAGCTTTAAAAATTGACATTAAAACAGAGATTTTACTGTTATCTATTCAAAACCTTTCCCAAAAGGAGAAAAATCCATATAAAGAATATTCCCAGAAAATGCCCACTCAATCTAACTTAAAATTTTAACTCAGGTTTGCTGACATCCAGTAGATAGGAAACAGTTGTTCATTTTTAAACATAATAAAACATAATAAATAGGGGATAGCAGATAATCATTTTCCTTATTTTTGTTTCCGGTACGTAGTACTGTTTCAATATCACAATATTCAGAAAGCTTTGGTACATAAATTACTTGAATATTAATTATAATTTCCACTGGCATTATGTTTTTAATCTTTCTGAAATTTGTTTTAGTTACTTTTTTTAAAAAAAAAATAGACAGCTTTTGAAGCTGCTGTCTACGTAACGTATCAGATTCTGCAAGACAAAACAAGTGTACTTAAAGTTGTGGGTAAAAACATACACTAGAGGGAGCATGATTTTATAGGATCATAGTACTTTCCTAAATTTCCTAATGAAAAGGTATATTTCATGTACTAGTGGCATTTAAACATTTATATTTTATTTGTTTCTTAATGAGATTCAAAGGATATTGGCGATAAAGAAGGAATCAAACTAAAAGCTAATGCATGCTGAAATCAGCCAAGATGTGGAGCAATTTTTGTGAAACACAAGTCTCTTCCCTTTACAGACATAAAAACTTGAACCATTCATTCAAATACTTATATAACCTTCCCATTTTGGAAGGCTATTTAGATCAGTTAAAACCTCCCATAGTCTGCAACCAGTATAGATTGAGAAAGAGAATTACCTTTATCTGTTTTCTTTTTGATCATACAGAATATCTCAGAAGTAAATTTTATACAGACTCTCCTGGACAATACACGATAAACAAAGTAATTAAGTTAAATAGACATGAAGCAGCAAAACAATAAGCACAGATAGTATTTTTTCAGCCTCTCAGTGGTCTCTGGAGGAACCCTTGATTGCTTATGAAGGCAGTCAAATCTGATTTCTTAATCTGATTTCTAAGGGGAGGCTATTTCCAAAGAAAGTGTAATAAATTCAAAACATTTAACGATCCTCAAAAGTATCCCCATGCCAAGTGATTGCCATCCAGGTGAATAGTGATGAGTTAGGCATCCTACCTGCTGCAGATAGGGATGCAGCTGACACATCAAAGAAAGCTGGATAATAGTCTTCCTGGCAACGGCCTCCATGTTTCCTTCTAGCAATAATCATGATTCCATTTTGGTTTGTCAGGGAAATTGGCCATTGCTTTTGAAAAGGTGCTTAAAAATAAGGTCAGAGTTCCTGCTTACCCTACTGTACCCTGTAAGAGATGTAATGAGCATAAAGTCTCACTTTGTGACTTTTGCAGGTAGATTACCGTATTAACACCTAGAACCGTGGTGGCGAACCTATGGCACGCGTGCCACAGGTGGCATGCAGAGCCCTCTCTGTGGGCACGCACGCTGTCGCCCCAGTCCTAGGCCTTCAGCTGGATTTTATAAAACCTTTTTGCTTTAGGCCTCTGCCGCCGTGTGCAAAAAAAAAAAAAAAAGGTTCAATCAATCAATCAATTTCAACTTGCAGGAAAAAAAAGATCTCGCAAAGTTGAAATTGATTGATTGAACTTTTTAGTCCTACCCAGTCTGCCATTACCACCACAGCCACACTTACCCAATGGGCCATGCGCACCCAATGGGCCACACCCACCCAATGGGCCATGCCCACCCGGCACCCGATGATACATAAGTGGGTTTTGGGTTGCAATTTGGGCACTCGGTGTCTAAAAGGTTCGCCATCACTGACCTAGAATTTAATTTGTCTTCTACATTAAGCCAAAGCCAGCTAATCTGTCATGGTTAGAACCTGCCTCTACCAACAGAACAAAGCAAACTTCTGTTTCTTTTATTTATTGATATTCCCTATTTCTAAAGTGCCCATCTCTCTCCATTGTTTGTGTTTGTTCTAACAGGGCCCTTCAGATTCTTTGGGAGTCAGTATTGCTGGAGGAGTAGGAAGCCCTCTTGGTGATGTTCCCATTTTTATAGCCATGATGCATCCAAATGGAGTGGCAGCACAAACCCAGAAATTGAGGGTAAGAAGAAAATTGAGAATGTTATGATAGACTATTGCTGCTTCAAGTAACCTGATCCAATATTGTTTTTATTTGTGTGTTAAGCAGATAAGACAATGGTAAGTAACCTGGGGTTTGTTGGCTGCTTTGTGGCCTCTAGCCACTATTTAATGCAGGGGTTTTCAAACTTGGCCCTTTTTATGACTTGTGGACTTCAACTCCCAGAATTCCTCAGCCAGCGTGCCTGGCTGAGGAATTCTGGGAGTTGAAGTCCACAAGCCATAAAAGGGCCAAGTTTAAAGACCCCTGATTTAATGGCTTCCAAATCATTTCCAGTCATATTAATGAAGTTCAGTAGAGCAACTATCAATTTTGAATGACAACAGTGGTATGATTGTTTGATTTGATGCTTAAAAGATGCAAAATGGAGGTTGTAAAAGGCTACTGTTGTGAGATGGGCAGCCATATAAATTATTTGAATAAATTAATAAAACTTTATGAAGCTCAGAATGACTATCTATACTTTAATCCCTCATCTTCGCCTAAAGGACAAAAACAGCTGGAATTTTTTAAAAGCATGCTGTTGTATCATTATCATACCTCACATTTGTCTTCAGGGGCCAAGAAGCTTTAGTCAAAAGAACAAATCATGAGCTTCAGTTCCATGAGGATTGAACACATTTAATGTAAATAAAGGTCATCTTTACAAAAGAGAATGCCATCTTAGGTACAAGAGGTTCACCAATAAGTGACTCAATTTGGAAAGTTACAGTGAAAACTGCAGCAATGGGAGCAATTCTTCAATTTGTCCAAGGGAAAAAAAATATTGGTTTTTATTTCTGTATTGCCAGTCCTCAACTTACAACTGATTGTTTAGCCATTGTTTGACAGATCCTCCCCCCAAAACTAATTATGACTCAGATTCAAAGTTCTGACAGCCCCCCTTCCCAGTCATGTGTCCACATTTTGGGTGCTCAGCTAGTGGCCCACATTTACGACTGTAGTATCCTGCAGTAATGTGACTACTATTTACAACGTTTTTTCCCAGAAATTTTTTTACTTCTGGTTTCTGGCAAAAAAAATGTCCTATAATGAGCAGTGGGTTTATGACCACCACATTCGCTTAATGACCATGGCAAAAAAAAGGTCATTAAATCAGACGCACTCACATGATGCCCTACAGTACTTAACATCATGATTTACAACTGTAATTGCAGGCTCATTTATCGTCTTAACTATAGAACCATCTGTACGATCACACTAAGCCACTAAGTTGTAAAGTTTGTATCACAAAGCACAAATCTAACCAAGTATGAGTTATTCACTACAGCTAAATCAACCACAATTTATTATACTCAAGGCCCA